TCTCGGATTGAAATTACTTAAGTTGTATATTTTCGAAAATTTTCCCCTTTTAACTGAGCTTCTGCATATTTTTCTTCCTATGTGAATGTTTTGACTCTTTTAAACTGGAGCAATAGCTGTTTATTTTGCTTTTATTGTTTTATCAAAAGTTTGTTAAATTTCAGCCCACATTTCCAGCATCGCGAAGCTGTCTACCAACACAAACTGTGCTTTTTGAAAATGGTGAGCTCAGCATTGTCACGGATTTACGTTCTTGGTAACAGTTCAGTGCGCCACTGAAAAGATATCAGAAATACGACGGCAGCTAATATTTCTCACTTCATTTGCTAGAGTGTTTTACTAGTGGGTCTCTTTTTGACGAACAGTTCCAAGGAAATAATGAGTATCCGTCAATTTTTAGCATTAGCGGTTTCATTTTGCCCAAAATTGATTAAATTTTTCAAAAAATCTTTTTCCGTCTTTCTTTTTTCTTCCCCCTCAATATTTTTCTTGAAAAGGGGTGAATGTATTTTCCTAGAGCCAGAAAGAGGCTCACTCTGAAATTTAAATCAGATGCGCTAGATTTCTGTCCATTCATCTTATTCAGTTCCACCACAATAGTATTTTTGCTGTCCGTTGGATCAGTTGGTGTTGTTAATTTTTATGTGCCTCTGCTTACATTTCTTTTTTTTCTGGCTTTTTTTTCTGTTTTTTTCTGATTCCTTTTAACGGTGAAGACTGTATCAACGACGGTTGTGCTGTAAATGTTTGCTGTTTCTTTTGCACAATATTTGCGCTTGTTTCTTTCAGGTCTCCTTTGACTGTTTAACTGTTTTTTTCGTGGCTTTTTTTTGGTAAGGGAATTAGTTTTGTTCATTTCAAAGATTATTTCTTTTTAATCAACGCACCTTCGTCGTTGGACACCCTCACATCATCGACTCAGTTTCTGCTCTATAACTGAGCGAAGCTACATCGCCCGGCCATTTTTGCAGCACCGGTGATCCTTGCATACGTGTTCTCGTTCGTCGTTTTCCTCGGGAGAAATGCCTTATGTTCGTATATCTCTTCCTTCTTGTGTTTAGTTTTCTTCAGCTATATGAGGGATTATTATTTAAGCAAAAGTTCTTCGGATTTTTCCTCTTCTGCCTTTTTTTCTTCTGCGTCTTCATTTTTCGTTCGGAGTGTGATTGTTTGCTGGCAGCGCAGTGTTTTGCAGCTTTATTGCAGTATTAGCAGCTACTTTTAACTGTTGTTTAGCATAGCTTATTTTATGATATTATTATCTCTTTGGCTTGTGTTTGGCAGCTAGATTTTTTTCTTTTTTATTGCGGTGAAATTCTGTGTTGCATCGAGAGACAATGTAGATGAGCATTTGCCTCAAATACTCATTTGTTTGTCTTTTAGATGAAATATATGTATATCTTTACATCTTTTATTTGAACAATGCGAAATATACTTGTTTGTATTCATTCACAAGATTTACTTTTTTTAGTGATACTATCTTTACATACTAAGCCTGAGTTATTTCGAATTGTGAACAATTCGCCCAGACCTGTTCTGTTTATCCTCAATCTGCTAAATCAGCATTTCAGTGGATGAATGAATAGGGTGCTGGTGTAAAGAGGAAGGGGAGAGAGACGTGAGTCTGTTGGCTCTTAGAAAACTGAGGAATTGCTACAATGTAGTGCTCTTTTCGTTTGTCTTTCGAGCACGATTTTGAGGCGTTGTAAACTCTTCATATCTACACCCATTTCCCGAAAATGAATTCGACATTTGAATTTAAAGCCCGATATTGTTATGCTTTTTTTCCGCTACTTTTCTGGCCACGTTTGTGTTGTGAATGATTGATCGAATGCTCAGTTGTTATTGATTTTGTCAATCACATCTCATTCCATTGTACTGATGTTTTATTCATTTCTAATTCTCTGTATACTTAAGACATGCCAACTTACAAAGACATAAATCAATTAGGATGGAGAGGGGAAAGGATGGAGAGAAGGCGAACAGTGTAAATCCACTTCCTTGAGATTTAATATGAAAAGACCTAGTTTACACAACTGCTTATTTGTACATTAGCGTGTGTAAGCATCGGCTAGAAAAAAGTATAAAAGTTTAAGGAAATATCGAATCTGGCACTTTCGGTAAGCGCAAAAATGTTTTTTCCCGTGGAAACCAGTTTTTTATGAATTTGACTTTTTTCCAAGAAAAGTGGAGAGTGATGTTTTTATAATACTGAGTATCATTGCTTTACGTTTACTGTTATTTAGTTATGCGCAAGATACCACAACAAAGTCTAACCCGGACACCCTGTCGTAACA